CTTTGGAGAATACGATGATACCTGGGCACGTGCGGAGTCAGAGAATGGCAGGCTTCGTCTTCCACAGATAATCAGATGGAAGGAGATGTCACTCACGCAGTATCCAAATCTTCGGGCAGGGCTCTGAGTTCACGACAGATGTCGTCGATTCTAGTAATGCCCTGTAAATTGTCCAACACGATCCGTGCATACAAAAACATACCTAGACATGACCCAACTTTCAGTTAGCACGATACTGTACTTATGGGATAAATACGGGTTTGGGACGGCAACCTCGCAGCCAAACCGACCTTTCGCCTTGGCCGCTAGCGGCGACAAAAGAAAGCCAATTTCAGTTCTCATGGCGGGGTCGCAGCCCAGGCTATCAATCCAGTCTCGAGCGCGGTGATTGATGTAATGCTGGATGCTGCCCGCATTCCGATCATTGACCTTAATGGTAAGAGCCTTGTTCTCGAGTCTCCGGGAGATATCCCCCTCCGGGCGACTGCTGATCAGGATGCGCACTCCGGGACACTCCTTGGTGAAGTCCTCCAATCGCTCGAGCAGCACCTGTCGCTCGTACTCCTCCATCTCATCCAATCCATCGACGATGACCTGTGTCTGGTCGGCCGTTCGAAGATAGGTCTTCAAAAGCTCAGTTACCTGCAGTGTGCTCCCGCGCAAATCGCGTTCTTTGGCCTCCAGAAGCACGGCTTGCAGGTCCGGTTCCTCGTCGGCAGCCTGGAAAAGCATGGACTGCAGCACCCTGAGGGCCGTCGAGGTATCCTTTGCCGAGTGGCTGATCACTGCGAATAGACATCGCTGATCGGTTTCGCGAGTCCGCGCCACTGCGGCCGCGCACAGGTATGACTTTCCCGCCCCTGGCATGCCCTGCAGCCAGAGCCATGGATTGGCGGGGGGCGGCATAGCATCCGACCACTTCTTGTACGAAGCATCCTGAAACAGCCATTTTGCACAGCCAGGAACGGACCGGTTCCGGATCCAGTCTAATCGTTCGTCGAACGATGCGGGGGCGATCTGCCCCTTCAGGCCCGTGTAGCGCTGCCGGTTCTGCAGTGTCTGGATCGCCGCGAATTGCTCAAGCGACTTTGTGCGAGCTTGTTGGGCCTCTGTGACGTCGACAAGCGTGACTTTGTTTCTCAACAAGGTCGCATGCAGCTCGATATTGCCAACTACCACATCCAGCTTCTTTTGGTAGCTCGGCCAGATTGCCTCGAACATTTGTTTCCAGCCTGGGGCGAGAGAACAGAGTCAGCCTACCATTCAAAAGATCTGAGTCGATCGGGCTTTCGACCACTCTACTCACGGTGCTTTCGGAAAAAGTCGAGGTTGACTCGGTAAAAATCGAGAAGATCCCCATAAAACAGTGCCAGAGCGGCGCGGATCGCATCGCTCCACTCAAAAACCCCTAAAACCGTGGCAAACTGCGGGAGGGCATAGCCGACTTTGACCATCGTGTCTGCCACCTTGTCAAAGGCGATGGAGAGTTGGCTAGACCACAGCAAGAGCAGCTTGACCGGACCCCAGATCAGCGCCAGCTCGGGCTTTACTTGAAGAAAAGCTTCAATGACCCCGCTATAGGAAGAGAGGCGGTCGAGGAAAGGCCGAATGCGAGCGAGATTTCGCAACGCTCCCTTTCTTGCAGCCTCTTCTTGAAGCTTGTTTGTGGCATTGTAAACGTCACTGATAGTATTTGAGGCGAGGATCTCGCTGTATAAGTCGGGATCTTTCAGATTGTTACGGAACGACGTTTGTGCTTCATGGAAGACCTCCAAAGCAGGGTCATTTGTCGCCATCGCTGTCGTGTCTTCTCAAGGGACAGAGGGAAGGCTTCGAAGAAATTTGCAGGTTTGGCTTTGGAGGGGGAAAGGAGCGCGGTTTTCAGTTGAAGCTAAATCAACAGGGATAGCTGCGCTAGCGTGACATCGTTCGTTTTTTAGTATCAGTATCCCAACTGCGCCACACGCTAGGCCGACCACAAATGTGGTGACGTGTTCCCAAAATAACTTATTGTGATGCGCGGTCTTGTTTGACAAGCTGCCAAAGACGGCTGCGGCTGCGCAAGGCCGCTGTATAAAATCGTTGCCATGATCCAGGCCTCGCAATCGATTTTCCCCCCTTTCCTGCTGGACCATATTATAGACACCCTACCTCAGCACGAACACAGAGCTGCCACAATGGTTAATACTAGAAAGCGAAGCCGTGAACCTGAGTTCAGCGACAAAGATGTCAGGGAAACAAAGCGCCGATCGGGCGCGCTTACAGTCACTGTATGCGAGAACATTGTTGACCTGACGCTAAGTGACAGCGACGACGGCAATGATAAACAAACTTGTGCCGCGAGCGCTTCGATAGCGACGATTGCGACGATTGCGACAACAGACAACGACAACCACCCATCTCCAATAATTCCTCTGGGCCCACAGATAGGTCCTGAAGATATTTGCTTTGGAATGGTAAGCCGCATGACTGCTGGGAAACTCCTAACAACCGTTAGCTGACGGACTTCCTGAAGCTCAGTATGCGAGCAACTGCCTCCGATGCCGGACGTCTTCCAGCCACATCTACAGCAGCAACCCTATCTTTTGAGGACAACCTGATTCGAATTCACTTGGTAGGGGTAGAGAGGTCCGTGGCAATTCTCGTCTGCAAGCCGCTGCCGCTGTTGCTCTCCCGCTTTGCCATCACGCTGAAAGCGACAATCTGCGGTCGAGCACCGAAGCCCATTCTGGAGAAACAAAGAGGCAACACTGTTAGCAGCTCAAATATCACGATGGGCGCCATGCTCTACTCGGTCCGGATATTTGTCTACGGTCAGGTTTACCAAAAGGAACAGGTAGGGGATTTCCTGGCTGCGGAGGGCTTGTTTTTGCAACATCCCCATGCATCGGAGATAGAGTACGGCGTGAAGTACTTGAATCCACAGTACTTACTCCCACCGGGTAGTGAGACGATGCCGTCGCCCGACAAGCTCTCAGTCTCGACGTGCTGCGTGGGCCGTGAAAGGCCAGGGCCAGACGCACTGGATGACGTGGAGAAGAACGCAATCTATCGAATCTTCAATACTTTCAACGGTCCAGGAGAAATACAAACAGATATCAAGCCCAGTCTTCGGCTTACCACAACCTTGAAAAGGTCTGAGGTTTTTTCTTTCCTGGTGCACATTCCGAGCTTCTCTCATCGCTCACTTGTGACATGATAGGCACCAAATTGAGGCTTTGGTAATGATGATCGAGAAGGAAGAAGGAATCTTCGAGGGCGCACAATTTCCTTCCATGTGGGTTCCCTTTAAGGCGCCCGACGGCAAGTTCCGGTAGGTATTCAGAACGGGTCCAGCGGGGATTCAAGACAGTTTCCAGAGACAAGCATTGACTTCTAAAGATATCAAAACATCGTCACCAAGCTGTTCGAGACTGAACGACCTGTTTCTGTCCGTGGCGGGATTCTGGCAGATGTACTTTCCCTTCCGGCTATCTGTGCGCGACATCGTTCTGACTACATGCAGGAAATGGGGCTAGGGAAGACGCTCTCAAGTCTTGCGCTTATCTGCCACTCGCTGGACCGGCGGGAACAGGCTGCTTCAACTAGTGCTCCGCGAGCAACACTGATCGTTACCCCGAAGTCAAGTATGCTACCGTGAATTCAGAAGGTGCGGAAAGTGCCGTAAGAAGCATGGCTGATTCGCAATAGCGATTTACGGATGGGAGTCACAAATAGTACGGTAGGGTGCTTCTCTCCTATTCTCGAACTCGAACCTCTTCCGATGCAAGGGTAGAACAAAACCTGAGATGATCATTTCCAGCCATATCTGTCCGAAGCGGGTCAAGTGGGTGACCTACCATGGGAGCGATCGTCATCAACAGCATAGCAGGCTAGACGCGTATGATGTTGTCTTAACGACCTACGAGACTTTGAGGGCCGAGGAGGGAAAAAGAGACTCGTTGCTTGAACACGAATGGGAAAGAGTCATTCTTGACGAAGGTATGTAAGCCCCAGGGTCTAGCTCCTTTAAATGTGGCTTTTTTGGCTTGTCGCATTGAGGCCCTTACTCACGGCCTCTCACAAACTATAGCCCATCGAATTCGAAACCCATCCTCAAAGACCTTTCAAACAGTCCAGTCTCTACACGCCCAATACCGATGGTGCCTCACGGGAACGCCCATTCAAAACCGCCTGGAGGATTTCGGTGCGCTGCTTAACTTCATTGGAGTTCCTCCCTTCGACTCCGTCAGTGCCTTCGACAAATTCATAGTGGGTCCGATCTCGAGCAAGCGGAAAAACAGCCTCGATCTCTTGAGGAAAGTGGTACGTGCAACATGCCTGCGACGAACAAAACTGGACTATGCGGCTGCTCTCTGCTTACCCCGAAAAAGCGAGCGCATCGAGCGAGTGCAGATGGAGCGCGAGGACCGGGAACTCTACGAGTTCTTCAAGCACTTCTCCTATCTCCGGGCCGCGAAAGCTACGGCGACAAACAAAGGAGGGGCCCAGATCCTTGTGCTGATCTCGCTGCTGCGGTTGATTTGCAATCATGGCGCGGCGCTGCTGTCGGAAGCGGCTCTCAACGTATGGCGCGAACGGGATGACACATCCCTCGCCTGGAAAGTGCTCGAAGCTGAGACGGGGCAATGCGCGGTATGTACGCAGTCTACCCAGGAATCGCGCTCCGACGGGTCCCGGATGGAGGAACTGTCTTGTGGTCACCGCATCTGCGAAAATTGCGCAGCGGCCACGAGCCAGACGCTGTGCCACAAATGCGAAGCTACCCCGGATCCTGGCCCGTGTTCTAGCTCATCATTACCGTTACGGACGAGCGTCACCAACACCCTCGCTATGCAATACAATCCATCCGCCAAGGTCAAAGCCCTGCTGCACAATATCACTGGACGTCAAAGCCTGAGCGGTAACACCACCGCTGCCATCAAATTGTAAGGAGACGATAGCCCTCAACACCTCTTCCCCGCCCCCAGCTTCTTTTCTGGTCTGAGGCGCGGAGCTGTATCGCTAAATCGTGATTTACTAAGCAGTGTCGTCTTCAGTCATTGGACTAAGATGCTCGACCTCATCGCCACCGCCCTACATGAACAAGGCCTCCTATTCCAGCGAATAGATGGACGATCCTCTCTTGTTCAACGTAAAGAAGCGCTACGAGTGTTCGGCAGCGATCCTCAATGCAATGTCATGCTTGCCAGTATTGGAGCAGCGGGTGAAGGGTGTGTTGACCATATTGTCCTTCCCTTCTCCCCTTGGCAAACTCACCACTCAATTTGCGCATTGCACCTGACTTTTTCTTTCAAAAACAAAACAGGATAGACCTCACTGCGGCGAGCTCAATTCACATCGTGGAGCCCCATTGGAATCCGATGGCCGAAGCGCAAGCCATCGATCGCGTGCACCGCATCGGACAGAAACGTGATGTGGAAGTGGTCAGGTACATCATGCGCGAGTCGATTGAATCTGTGAGAAAAGTGCCCCACTTCCTACCCCACTTCCAACCTCTTTTCTCTGCAGTTGTTTCAAACATTTGTTTCCGAAACCTTTCGGCACGTGAGGTATTTGAAACTGACATTAAAGTCTTTCTTTGCTTCTCACAGTATGTTCAATGGATCCAACAGGATAAACTTCGCTTGATAAACGAGGTTCTTTCACCTTCAGATCATTGTAAAGAGAATGTCACACAAGGACGGTGGAGAGTAAGTACCTTAATCTGCCAGCACCTCTACAGCATCTTTTGACCCGCAAATCATGCTGGACTACCTCTACCTTTGACTGGAAAGACTAATGTTTCATCTCATGGTTAGAGATTACTCGAGTACCTCGAATAGGATAATAGTTCCAGGCTGCAAGTAGTATTGTTATAGATTATATCCATAAAACATTTATTTTTGAGCTATGATGGGGTAGGGATTCAAAGAACTCAGCAGGCTAATTAGATCAAAAAGATTTTAATGCAATGGTTCTACAGTCAGTCCCTAGCCCTAATCTCAATTGTCGCTCCGAAGAGTTGAAAGCTTGACTCAATAAAGCAAGCGATCAAAGTGCATGCCATACGCAGAAGCTCAGATAAGTTGATACATGCAAGTCCTGCCTAGCGAACATCAGTACATGGCTATGCAGTCCTTTCCCGCTGCCACGCTGCCACTTGGTTTCTTCCACGGTTGCTGGGCTGATCGAGGTAAGATTATTTACGCGTCATCTATACCCAAGTTGGATGAGGACCTTGGTGTAAACCACGAGGTCCTGATACACATGACAATTCCCAAGACGGGATGAGATGTGAGTTCAAGGCGCACTTCTCAGTGAAGAGAATTGCATGATCCTGTCCAGCACGCTTTGGACAAGCAAAGCGCGGGATTTCGCAGTTCCGCACCATCTCTGCTCGGCGGACTTACCCTCGCAGCCGTAGAACTAACAGCACCCAACCCCGCGCTTCCTAGCCGGAGACAACACCCCCACCGCCGCATTCCGTGGATACAGCGGACATTGCGAATCCCTAGCCCTCTGCACGACAGCCTCCAAGCGCGCGGCAAGCGCATCGACCGTCTCGGCCCCAGCCGGCGCCTTCTCCGTGACGCGGCCCTCAATCATCTGGATCTGCAGTCACACAGTATGTGATATCACTGATCTTCAGGCGCCAAGACGGTAAGCACGACGCCAGTTGTTCGGTTCTTTACGGTGAGCCGCGCCATATGCCTAATCAGACATACGATGTCGGAGATGTCACCGCCGCCGGCGTAAGTCCAGTCCATTCCACTCGTACAGCATGAGGGAAAAGAAAATCCGAGGCTGAACTCCACCCACCTCGCCGCTCAGCTGGGGGCTTTGTCCAGCGCTCTGATTGACTGCACGACTACTGCGACAAGGACGGCCTTGTGATGCCACTGGCACTAATCTCTCCGCTCACTTGGCCTATACCCATGTTTGGGATAGGACAGCCGTCATTTGATAGAGAGCATGATGGAGAAGATGTGAGCTCCTAGGAAGTTAATTCAAGAACATAGGCCCCCGATTGCGTTGAGGAAATCTTACAATATCTGAATGGAGGTTTCTCAAGAAATTCGTACTGACCTATATAGTTTCGGGTTGTACTCGACGTGTCAACGTCGATGGCCATTTCTCTGAGATCCAATGTGGTCCGCCACATCCGCCAATTATTGTTTCTCGTAAGTATATAGTACTAAACAGTAGATATCATATGAAGCTCGATACATAGGGCATCCGTAACTTATATGATTGGTGTCAAAACTATTTACAAGTGTCTGCAGAACAACTCGGGGAAATTACCATCGACGTTAACAATTAGAATAAAGATAGTTACCTCGCTCTGGGTGTCAGTGCTGTCTGTAGCATGTTGGTAGATTAAAGAGTCGATAAAAGCCAAAAGCCTTCAGAAGACAATTTGCAGTGACACATTGCATTGTGAACCTCGCTATCCCAAATATTCTCTATGGAGTAAATGTTATCATTATATCTTTCCCGCGCCCATGACGAGACAACTTCTGAACAGGAACCCGAACGAGACAGTCTATATCTAAGAAAATATGGAATAGTATCCTTGACAACAACGTAAATAGACTCAAAGAACAGGCGACTTAGGCCAACCCGAGTCTAGATTCTGGATGATGCACCCCACCTAATTAGGCGGCAACTTCACCTGGTAGAAACCTGCAACGAATCCCGCAATCAGCATGACATCCACAGATCCAAGGAAGTAACAAACTCACCGAGGTCGCAGTTGTCCTCTGTCCAGTGCTGGACCTGGTACAAGCCGGCATTATCAAAGAGCTCTTGGCGCTCCGTCTCGTCATACTTGTGGCTGTAAACGATGCGGATCTTGTCGCCTTTCTTGATGACAACATCCTCGAACGGGGGTCCGAGTTGAACATCGCTGGACATGGGCGTGAAGGACGCCTCATACCGCCCGTGGGTGGAGTTCCACTCGCTCATCGTCGTCCAGTCATCGACATTAAAGGCGTTCTCAGCGGACTGGGTGTGCTTGCTCATGATCGCGCTTGCATACTCCATGGCGGAGAGGGTGAAAGGCAGCACGCCGTCGCCGGTGTACGCGTGGAGGATCTTGGTGGGGACCTTGCATCCATCGACGGTGAGGATGATGGAGCTGGTGCCCGGTGCGCGCGTGAGCGCCTTCATCGCGACCTGTTTCAAGAACGCCGCGGCCTCGGCGCGCGAGAAGTTCCCGATCGTTGACCCAAGGAACATGACGCATTTCGGCAGCTCGGCGATCTCCGGTGCGCTGTGCAGCCACTGCAGGCCGTCGTCGAAGGTCCCGTGCAGCGCTGCACAGCTCACATGCTTGAACTGATCCAGCGGGAGCGTCTTCAGCGTCGATACCAGCTCGTTGTGGTCCAGATCCAACGCGAAGTATTGAACGTCCTTCCCTGCGGCTTCGAGGGCCTCCAGCAGAAGCAATGTCTTGTCCAGGCTCCTGTAGTTCGTTCTCTTAGTGGGTGTTGCCCTTGGCTCTGGGCTGAGACTTACGCGCTACCCAGGTCAAGAAGAACGCTGCCGTTTTCGATGGAGTTTGCGATGTTGCGGGCTTGCTTCTGGAGGATCAATAACTCTTCTTGTCGAGGATAGTACCCGGGAGCGTGAGAGTGGCGATCATAAGCTTGAAGGCCTTTTTCACTGTAGAGAAGAATCGTAGGAAGGTTTCTTGGCTCTTGGCGCATCCCTTCGATGATATCTCGAGCGATACTAGACTCGCATTTGGAACTGCGAATGTCTCGTACGAGGGCGTTGACGTCTTCCATCTTGGAAAGAGAGTCTGTACGATTGTACTGGTGGGCAACTGTGACAGAAAAAAAGGAAGATGGGTTTCCGAAGCTCAGGAACAGAATAGCAAGCTAGTCGGCGAAGGACAGAGGTTATAAGATACCTGATCCGAGTGACAACTATGACGCCGATCACGATCGGTCTATGTCACATTGCATTCCATGAGTGATTAAACGCCCTTCATATCGGTGAAAGATTTCCGAATATTCTTTACTAATTGACACGCACGTTCATAACAACCACTGACTCGTCAGACCTGCATAGGTAAGGGCAGCTCGGCTTAGGGGTATACGTGTCTTCTCATCTTCGCACGACGCTCTGTACAACCTGCAGAGATCCTCATTTATCATTCCGTAAAGGTCCGAGACTATACGGCAACTTTCAAAGTGCATACATGATTCTGATAAGTATCATAGTACGAATCGGACCTATCACACGAAAGCATTGTGTTTGAGTTCGCTATTACCGAGTAAAAATGTGAAAGTGGACATCTGTTCCGGGCCGCTGGAAAGGCCAACCTTGATCAACATTCCTGATCCACACTTCAAAATGGCCAGAGTGCTATCGAATACCCCCTTGCTATGGAAGATCGCTCATGCAATGACATCCCATCGCAGAGATAAGACCCCTTGCCGCCATAGACTCGGCCTCCGAGTACACATTCCTTACCTGTCAGCCCCCTTGCATGAGAGCCCCCTTGTACTCGTAATCTGAGGCGATCCTTGCAATAGCTGACTACCGCGCCACGAAAGGCTCCTCGAGGACCCGGAAATCCATCGTGAATCCCTTATATTGCTGGGAGCCGCAAGATAACGTTTTCTTGACAGCGGCCACTAATTCAGTTGCTGGGATTCTTATCTTGTGCTAAGCAATATCGTCATGTATAGCACATCCCACGTTGTCCTTGGCATCGTCATCGGTCTCGGGCTCTTAGGGCTGCGACAATACCTCAATGGGCCGCTGAAATCAGTCCCAGGTCCCATATGGAGCAAGTTCACGAAGCTTTGGCTTCTTCGTCGGATTTACAGCCGGAAACTTCATCTGCTGGAGATCGAAGCACATGAGAAATACGGTATGTGATTATTGCCTCACGATACAATACCTCGACTAAAAACCTGACAAGCCACACAAAATCGCAGGCCCAATCTTTCGTGCTGCTCCGAACTATGTCATGGTTAATGATCCAGACTACATCCATGAAGTCCACACGTGGAACCGTTCAGACTGGTGGATCACGCTCGACCCTCAAGTAGGATTGCAAAGCACGGGAACAGCAAGAACAATCACGCAGCATAACCAACAGAGGAGACGAATCGCATCAGCGGTACGCTCACCCTTTTCTCTGGATACATAGATAAGCAGCTCTAAATCCGCTCCTGCAGTACAACCCAGACTCTGTCTATGAGATGGAGCCCAAGCTAGATCACTCTCTCGAGCAATTTCAGCAGATCCTGCGCGACAGATTCGCAATGACTGGGAAAGTCTGTAATATCGGAGACTACTTACATTGGTGTACGAG